CGCATCGGAGGAGTCTTCGGTTTTGGACAGCCTTCGTCGCGGCGCTGTGACGTATGCGGCCTTCGGAGGACCCGGCCTGCCGTTTTGGACACAGCCTTTAAAACAGAGTCAAGGCTAAAAATCTAAAATGTGTGGCAAAGTTATAGTTTGTATTAGTTTCTATGTTTTCCTGCTCATGTATGTGTTGAAACAATCAAACATTATGTTTAGTAAAGTTCAGGAGCTAATGCTATATTAGCTCAGGAGCTAATGCWATTTATTTACTCTAGCATTAACTGTGTATATATTAGTTAACCTATAATATTAGCTCTGAGCCATCAACACAGAATAATTAGAAAAKAATTAGTTGGCTGAATGGTTAGGGGAGTTGTTCTGTAACTGGTGGGTTGCTGGTTCAAACCCCTGCTCTTAGTCATTCTGTCTTAGGCCAATACTCTTCCCTACCTTGCCTGCTGGTTGTGGTCAGAGGAAAGTAGAAAATATAAAACAAAATGGAACTTTTTTGTCACTCATTATAGCTTTTTAGCCTCGAATGTGTTTTAGTCTCAGCTGTAACCAATCATCATCCCCAGAATGCATTGCGTCAGTAACAAAATGATGAATGAAAAATGTAATAAACGTACAGAATTTTAAATCAGGAGTTTTGACGTGTCACTAACAACTTTTAGTGGAACAGAGTAACATGTGACAGGAGATTTGTGAGTCAGATTGTAGAGCAGGACAACTGTTCCCAGCAGTCTTTGCTTCTTGTTTTATGCAGACATCTATGCCCAAAACCATCCTGATACCCATCCCTATATCCAAGTCCTCGGCTCCTCGTTTCCGTAACAGTGTGGAGGGCCTGAACCAAGAGATCGAACGTATCATCATCCGAGACACGCCTGAGAAGGAGGAGCCCATCGTTGTGAGTTTATACGACCTCAGTGTGTTCCTCATCGCCTCAACTTCCTGTTCTGACCTGAGTCTGTCTTCAAACAGCCGCAGGACGTCCCCGACGGGCACCGCGCGCCCCCGCCCCACCCCCCACAGCGCAGCAGCAGCACCCGCAGCATCGACACGCAGACTCCATCAGGAGGCGGACTGAGCGGCAACCATAGCAACTGCAGCAGCCGYCCCGATTCCATCTCACCCTCCTACCTCACCGTCCTGAACGACGCAGCCGGAGGCAGCCCCTACGAGGAGAAAGGTGAGTGGTCCTGCGCAGCAACCAAGGTCTGCCAGAGCGCCGCCCAGCCCCTCACTTCCTGTTTGGCTGTGTTCCCCAGAGCTGAGCCCCTGCTCCCCACTGCCCAAGTACGCCGCCTCACCCAGGCCCAACAACAGCTACATGTTCAAGAGGGAACCTCCAGAGGGCTGCGAGAAGGTCAAAGTGTCTGAGGAGAACATGTGAGTCAAACATGGTGGCCTCAGGCCGCATTTTAGCTTTACTTGTTCTCCTGCTTCTGGCAGTGTTTCAGGTGATTAACATTAGCTCCATGTTAGCATTAGCTCCACACTGGTGTTAGCTCTATGTTATTGTTAGCTCCGTGTTAGCGTTAGCTCCACACTGGCGTTAGCTCTATGATATTGTTAGCTCCATGTTAGCATTAGCTCCACACTGATGTTAGCTCTATATTATTGTTAGCTCCATGTTAGCATTAGCTCCACACTGGTGTTAGCTCTATATTATTGTTAGCTCCATGTTAGCATTAGCTCCACACTGGTGTTAGCTCTATATTATTGTTAGCTCCATGTTAGCATTAGCTCCACACTGGTGTTAGCTCTATGTTAATGTTAGCTCCATGTTAGCATTAGCACCACACTGGTGTTAGCTCTAT